AACTCAATGTATTTGTAATAATTAGATATATTAAAGATCTGAACTAGTTTAGCATATGATTTATTCTTCGACATGTGATAGAGCTTATAATGTTAGACATTTTTCAAGTAAATATACCTCCGAACAGTTTTTATTTTACTAGAAATAGATTCAGAACATTTTAAACAATGAACAAATCTAAACTTTGAAAAGAAAAATACTTTTTTTCTTTTTCAAAATTTCGACAAAGTGCTGTTTAGTTCGATTCACCATTTATGATATTTTCAATCTATTTTCAACAAAATAAAACGAAATTCGAAATAAGAACTTTTATCAAAACATCAGAAATTAAAAGCTCGACCAACATTGAAGATTTCACCCGATTTTCTAATGTAGTTGAGATCGTCAACATATTCAATAATAAATACATTGAGTTGTATCTAAAAGCAAAAGGATATAAATCTCCAAGCTTTATTTCCCAAAAAATGCTTTTATCATTATCATTATTTGTTATCAATGATGTTATGTTGAACTAGAATGTCAAAATTTAAAAAAGTCAACATTCTTTTCCATCCACACCAGTATAAAAACTACACAATGTACTACTATAGCGATCATGAACATTTTTGACTGAAAATGATGCTGGATTTAAAGAGTTTCTTAGTAACTATTAAAACAATTTTCGATTCTGAGTTATAGAACTTGAAAAAATCGAGTATCGGTTCTATTTTGCTGCAAATACAGGATTCTATTCTTCTCCTACATCCAAATGGTCGTCCTTGTGACAGGAGAACGAAAGAAAGAGAGAGTTGTAAAGAACTTCGTTAGTCTTCTTAGAGAGACACAAAGATTTTTTTGTTCTTTCTATTAATACCTATTTTTCTTGGGTTGCTATGAGAATATGCTTTGTTTCCTATTGAAAGATTTCTAATCGTACACTGCAAAAGTATTCGTGAGAAAAGTCCACATCAAAGAACACTGAGGAAACAAATGCATTATCGTTGTTGAAGAAAGAAGAATCGAAAAAAATAGAATCACAATAGAGTGAATATTATTCCTACCTGTTTTTTTTCAACATAATAATCTGTTTGAGCAACTAGAGAGACCATGTGTTTGAAACTGATAAGATTTCAGAAGTAAACAAAATCTTTCTGTTTCTTTTTCAAGACATTTGTTAAAACGAATAATAAATAATGGTTTATTTTAGAGTTTTAAATTCTATTTAGCATCAATTGACTCATAATCTCGTTTATGAACATCAAATTGTTTAAATTAAAATAGTGAACAAGAGTTGAAAATAAGATATCAGAGGTTTTAATCCTATTTAGTATTGATTTACTCACAATTTCAATACAGATATAGAGAACAAGTTGTAAATGAATTAAAATCAATGGATATTAATAATATACGCTCTCACCTACTATGGTCGCCGTTTCATTCGAAGATGATATCGATGTATAGAACATAAAATTGTCCATTCATGAAACCTCACTCTGATCCATTTTCTTCAATCAATCTTAAACAAAAGAATCAAACATCATTTTTATGAGTTCACTTTCACCCAGATCCTCACAGATGGGTGTGTATGTAAGTAGATGTGGACTGTGGATGAGTGTGGAGTAGGTTTCGAGTTTCTGTAGGGTCTAGATATGGGTGTAGATGTGAGAGTTGGATGTGGGCTAGGCATGGCAATGAGTGTTTATGTGAGTGTGGATGGAGAGAAGACCTACATTCACACAGACATATGCATCCCATTCTCATGTTCAGCTCACGCCCACTGCTATACTCATACTCACAACCACTACACATACACTGAACATTCACACCTAAATACTATTCCACACGCACATCTACCACGTCCACCCACATCCAGCATCATAGGACATAAGTGTCGGTATGCGCTGGGTGTGCACTGAAAAACAAAGTGTGTTACCGAATCATTTTGAAACGAAGTCTAAACCCTCGAAAAAGTTTCGCAAAAACCTTTGGCATCTTCAAAAAGTTTCAATAATATTGTGAAAAAGGCAGAAAAATTGCAAGAAAAGGATTGTTCGTCTTCTTAGTTAAGTAGAGATTGTTTCGTTTTTTTGTTGCTTGGTAAGTTGTTATGTATGCGAGTGTCTTTTGTTTGTGAGTAAACGAAAGATTATTTTTTATCATTCATTTTTAAGTGTACTTGTGCAAAAAAAGTGCAAGTCTGCGTCAAAGAACAGCGATAACGAACGAAACGAATGCATCATCATCATTCGAACGCAGTAGTATCAATGATAACAACTCGCATTCTTTCCATGAATGAGAGATGTGCACAGTCATAATAAGGTGACACAAGAAAAAAAAACTTGTTACAATATAATCACACGTTTTTGAAGGCACAAAATTTTAAATTCAAGAAAACAATGAATGAATGAATAATAGTCGAAGTATATACTGTAAATACTGAGAAATTTTTCATTTTCAATTCTGCCAGTATATAGTCTCCAAAAAAATATTTACATTATCAAGAATTACTTTTTGAAAATCTATCAAGAAAAACTGACTAATCTGAAAAAGTAAAGAGAAGTTTCTGAGCTTCGCATCCATATATTCACCATCTGAGATTCGCAAAATTTTTCAAAATACAACTTGCCATTGCAATCTCTGATGAAGCTAAAATATAAAACATTTACATTGTCATTCTCTATACTACAGAACTTATAGATTTGAGTCGAGTTTTTTTATCGATCTTCAATCAGTTTCGATTATTTGAAAACTGGTCTTCTGAGAGTTAACAGAATATTCTAGGAGTATTTTTTAGTTTATCTTATATGGAAATTTTCTTCATACTCACCTTCTAATCTTAATGCTCTCACAACAATTCTGAATCTCATCATGAGTCACAATGAAGAAATGATCTTTGACATGAATCGATTCCAGATTTTACCACTAAAATATAATCAATCTTATTGATTTTATTTCATTCAAGATCATTATTTCCAATATAACAAGAATGATATGGTGTGGTTTATATTATTATCTCAATAAACATATATGTATCTCGATGATTTAAACAGATTAGCTTGGATCTGTCAATTAGTAGTTGGTTATGTTCCTCTAATGTATTTGCCAATTAATCTTTATTGTTCGACATAATTTTCAAATTGTCATTTTCGTATTACATTATTGAAAACATTTATTCTTATATTTGCTATTCTTTTTCTTCTTATCTCTGATTTCAACACTATTATCAACAAATGATTTATTCAAGGCAACATGAAAAGTAATAATTGTTTTCTTTCTATTCTATCCGAATTATATTGTTTCGAATGTTATTCGAAAATTTTCTCAACAATCGTTTTTGTGATTGAAGACTGCCGAGTAAAATATTACACATTAGAAATTTTTTTATTGAATATAAAATAAATAATATTTTTCAAAAATATTAGATAGAAGTTTCATTGTTACTCAAATCTTTCAAATAATTTGATGAGTAGTGAACTGCATGATTGTGACCAATTTTTCTATTGGAAGTCTAACACAAGATGTATATATTTACACATTGTTTATATGGACAAAGTATACAAAAAAAAACGAAGTTTCATAAATTGTAAAGAAATAAAAACTAGAACAATGTTCATATCATTTCAATAAACATAGATACAATTTTTAACTGATAGATCGTGTTCTACACTATAGTTAAAGCATGTTTTTTGAAATTCGAAATCATTTTCAATATATTAGAAGGAAAGAAGTAATTTCTCTTAAACAGTGTACGTCGTATACTCTGTTTTTTGGAGAAATTGTACAGTAGTTTGTATTTTGGGAGCAGCAGATATTATGTGCATATCGCTTTTATGATGTACAATTACTAATAGAAATACCACAGGATACTGAAAACAAGCACCTTCGACTATTTCATTCTGTTCGTATTGATTGCGGTCAATGAAATATACCATATAGATAATACTGTTATACCGTAAAGAATTTTTCTCTAAAGATGTTTAAACACGAATTGTTTTTCGTGATTGTAACCAAAAACATGTTAGTCATGCAGGATACTATTCATAAGTACTATGGCCATTGCAGTAGTTTTATTGAACTGTCATCTTCAAATAATCATTTCAATTTGAGTGAGTCAATCATCAAAAAAAATTCTACTTCGAAGAGATAAGTCTTGCAATATATTTTTTTTTCGTAAGCTACAAGAAACGCAAAATTTCTCCATGATTTTTTTCGTTTTTTTATGTATAATTGAATAGAACACATGGGATTACCTAGAAAAAATGCCTCTTTAATTTTTAAAAGTAGGTTTCTCAAAAAAAAAATCTCAAATTTGAGATTTCATTAAAAAATATGTTAATGTTTCATACAGCCGTGAATATAATAGTTTTTTCATTTTCTCCAGTTTAAGAAATATTTTCTTTTTTCGTTTCACAACATATAATTGACTAGAAAAAAATAATTTATTAAGATTGTTAAAATATTGTGTAATTATGCTTTGATTCCATATTAAGAAAAATAATTTTTTCAATAAGACTGACGAAACAACAAAAAAACGTCCCTTGTATTGGAAACTCAATGATTAAGTTGGAAAGAATTTCTGGGCGAATCGCGATAAGTTTTTCCAGAATTGTCTGCATTTTACACGTCTTTTTGATGATATTTAGGGATTTTCGCGGTTTGAGGGGAGGGAGAGGGCTAGAGAAAAATGAATTATGTGGTTGGATAGAGCTTGTCGAGTTCTACTTGGAAAGTTGTTAGACTATTTTGGAAAGTTTTCTGGAGCGAATCCTTTCAGGAAATACTCGAATTCTGACCTAAGATATCCGACGTGTAAAATCATACCATAAAAAAATATATTGTTCACTAAAAACATGAATAAGTCAATCACAGAAAAACACATATGGTTCAGTAACACCAGTTTTATTATAAAAGAATTGGAATCATGATTCAGGTACACAATACCATCGAGCTGGATTTGGTCCTTCACGAAGTTTATCTTGCGCATAATTAACTAAACCACGTTTACGCCATTGATCATGTGGCTATAAACGTTTTTCATTATGTTCAGTTCTCCATTTAATTGATGATAAATCATTTAATGAATCTTCACCACGTAGAACTTTTTCATCACTTTTCTTTTCAACTAATGATTTATCATCTAAAATATTCAAGTTCTAATTCAATATAGACATAAATTATAAATTACTTGTTTTTCGATGATTTATTTGTTGAACTTGATTTTGATGAAGTACCTTGAAAAAACATATTAGAGGTGGACAATGATTGATATGCAATTAGTGATGGTGAAACACCACTAAATACAATAGGACGAGCGAATTTAGTCAACATCAACAAGAAACATTAATACACTTATAACAATATTCTTCGTTCGAAATTTTATCATATATAATAAACATAGATACACAAGCTATGCTAGCGACCTCTTTTCTCTTGTAATGTACAACTGAGTAAAATGAAACTATTGATAAAATTAATATTCATTTAAGATCTTGAGGAGATATAATTACTTTTTATATTCAAACAAATTGATACAAGATTATATAAAAAGGAGCATAAAATTGGTTTTAAAACAACAAATCAGAAATTAAATAATTTATTAATATGAATACATGAATTCGAAAAACGTCTATTTATTAGTTTCAATTTTTCTTCTTTTCGGACAAGAATGCCCGCTTTAACTACTACAGAAAGAAACGGTGCTTGTGATCACGATGCTATTCAACAAGTAAATCCTAAGCAAGTTTCAATTAATGATGTGATTGCAATAAAAAACAACGATTGTAAATTTAGTATCGGAGTTTTTCTTATGGTTACAATCTGAGTATGATCACTATGTAACTGGATTTAATTAGGGAAAGTAACCGATATAGAAGAAAATACTTATTCCATCACTTTGTTTCATTTCAAATTGGACACAAAGAACGATCTAATCGTCGATGACGATATCTTGGTCAATTTCGGAAATTATGGTTCACGTACTATTTTTGATTTTGATAGTTCAAAGCAAAAATTGTTATTAGATAAATTAATCGAATCTGGTAAGTCGTTCTAGATTTCTCTCGAACAATAAATGGATTTTCAGTTTGTTTTAGATCCAAATCATCGTTCAATAATTCAACTGCGCAATGAGATATAATTGAAAGATGAAGTATGTTTGTTTTCTTGTTGTCGTTATGTTTTAGACTGCAAACGAACTGAAAAAATAAAAGTGAATTGAACACTGTGACTGCCCTATTCTCGTAGCAACGTCAATCTGATTGAATAATTCACTTTTAATTCGTTCAATATGTTTGAGGTCATAGACAGATTAATAAAGAAATTGACCTTATATTGTTTTTTTTCTTCGTCTCCTCCGCTATATTTAATATCAGAAAGAGCATTAACGTTCATTCATATTCTAAGTAATTCGTAAGATAAAAGCTGAACAATCGAAAAAAATTGAATTTTTCATTAAAAAATTTATTAATGATCAAAATATTATATTTATCGTTGAACAATGTGTGGCTGATGATATTATACAAGGTCAAAAATTAATGATATTACTACTGAAGAAAATCATGAACGATTAGCAAAACTTTTTTCGAAGATATGTATTAATGAAAAAAATTTAAAAGTAATTGAAGAACAATTGCACGGAAATTTGAACAACTTAAATCCAAAAGAACTCTTTGCAAAAAGAATTATGATGGAAATTAGTAAGAGATTTTGTCGTCGTTTGATATCAGAAGATTTCATTATATTGTTTATTTAGATAATATCGTCCGCAGTGATAATGAAAATGTACGTGATATTGAATTTTTGAAGCATGCACTTCATCTTATGTGTATGATTATGGAATAATCAATAGTGAACATTTTTGTTGCAAGATACTTTTCCCTAACTAGTCATATGTTGTCAGATTTTTCTTTTTGTTAAAAATATAAATTTAATATTTCTTACAAATAAATATGCTGAAGGTTAAACATATCAATTCTTCATACATATTAAAAAGAGTTCTTATAAAAAGAAACATCGGTGACATGAATAAATTTGTTGTTGATTTTTTTTTTTACAGAATATCATAGGATAGAGTAGACAAGGTAACATGATACAATCTATATGTTATTTTTCGATGACTGACTACTAAAGTGATACGATAGATATTTATTGAAATGTATCTATTGAATTTTTTTAACATTTATGAACTGTATAACAAATCTAGTTATTGATTTCGATACCTATCAAACAAATAATTTTCAGAAAAAAGGAAGACATTGTTTTTCTTTACATTCTAGTCTCTAGCCAATGTGTGAGAGACATTTTGAAAAACGACTGTTGATTCAACATTGGTTGTAGTAAGATTCTATGATATTGGAAATGCACTTTTCTTTGTTACGGCGAAGAAAAGGATTTTATTGTACTGCTGAAATGAAATTTGAATATATATTTATATTTGACTTTGTCAATGACGTGTAAAGAACAAGAACGTGCAAAATCCGAATGTCTGCATCGAACTTTTTCGAATAGAATAAAATTAAATGAGTCAAGAAGATTAATCCGAGAATTGTTGTTCTAGGTCGATTCAAACACAACCGTTTCCAGAACTTTTCACGATTTTCGAAAATAAATCCGGGAATTTCTTTATAGCCTTTTGTGAGTTCCAGGAGTTACTTGAATAATTTCAAAAACTCTAAGATTTATTTTTCTCTTGATCCATTGCAGACGATGATGCAATGATTATACAGTTAAGTTTTTCAGTAGGGAAAAAATATTTTTAATTATATTAAGTTGCTAAACTTAGAAAGTCATATAGATAAGAGATGATTCCGTTTACTCTTTCATGCTTATCCTTTTCTTTCTTTCACATTCACTCTTTTCGAATACTCTCTATTCGTTCTGCGAGTGCACAGTAAGATCTGATCTCGTTGACATTCGAATAAATTCATTCGCCGAAAGTAGAATCAATCTATTGAGGATTCAATTCTTCATAAGTTAAATGTAAAAGATTTTGTAAAGTCTGATTCTGTTTAAGGTATTCGTGTTAGAAAAAATTGATCCGTCGAAGATTTATTTTAAGCTAATAAGTTGATTGTAAATGAATTCTGTACCATCTGTCTGTGTCTAGAATATATGAGTAGGTGTGGGTGTGAAGCATAACTGTGAACAAATGAATCAGCGCACTCATACTCACACCCTAAAATCATTGAAATGTCATGTAAACAAATTTTATTTAAACAAACTTCATTGAGTATCGAGGGAAATACTATGAGAAAGAAATTTGACACATAAAATAATTTTACTAGCAAAGTGTTTATGGGAGTGGTGTGTGCACCAAGTTTATTGGAAAAATGGATGTAGCATATAGAAATTGGCTGTAATGTCGCGAATCTCCACTACAACACAGGGAAGTATTGGAAAAATATTATTTTTATACATATTCGACATAGCTCTATTAAATACGACACTTAAATTTCCTTTATCATGAAATTTATTTATTTCGATTTTCTTCCGAAAATGGTACAATTGGCGTGCTTTTCACTCATATGTACTCATTTGAAAGAGTGAGAGAATTTTCTCTTTTTCTCTCTTTGTTCCCGTATAGACTTTGAGTCGATGATATTAATTAAGTTTTAATCATCATCAATATACATGCATGAGGGATGTCATAATATCCACAAATCCGGCATCGACATTTCAAACATTGATATTTGGATATTAACCTCAATGCATCAAGGGATATCAATATAAATGGGTTTGGAGTATCAAGATGAATATCCAAAATTGTTAGTGCATGCCCCTAAAACTTGAGGATTTTGAGTGCTTGTAATGTAACGAGATGAATGCTCGAATAATTACCTAGAAACTTCTAAAGTCGAGGACTTGAAGTGCTTTTAATACAATGATCGAGATAGTGCTGTTTCTGCGAAATGTTAGGGCTTTGTGTAGTTTTATATTTTTGGAAATAAATAATGTTTAAGCCACATCTCAGTATAACGGGAAAGTTCCGTAAAATGGGTGGTAGCGACCGAGTATATGTCATTACACAGTATTGATAGTAAAGAAGATAGTCCAGATGAGATGTGAATAGTGAAGGATGCTGAAAGCATTTTTGCCTGGGATTAATAAGGAAGTGCTTTTGTTGTTGATGCTTATTTAGTAAGTAGGCATGGACTGGTAGTTTTATAGAAGGGTGGCTTTATTTTCAACCGTCGAATCAAAAAGTAAGTTTTCACTTATTAAGGTTCTTTGAGTATTTTCAAAAGAAGCTCTGCATTTTTCGCAGTGTGCAATAAGGGTTGCTTCCATTTGTTCGACATTTTTGAAGTGAACTGTGCAGCATAAAATACTCGCTCGTTTAGGCAAGATTACATGATCAGAATATCTAATACTCTGTGATTAGACATCTAGCTTTGATAATGTTTCCTTTTGACATTTCATCAGTCGTCAATCACTGCAACTTTTATGACGAGCAGCTACAAAATCTTTACTCAGCCTCGAGCTCAGATAGTGGTTTGTAGTGAGGAGATATCCTCCCTCATCTTCACTTTTTCTAGCATCCTATAAAGGTATTTGCCTTCACTCTCACTTGAGGTGCCATGCTGTGAAGCTTTCCGCCCTCACCCTCACTGAGGCGATATGCCCTGTAGGGTGGGTGTGGGTATGGGAATGAGTGTGAATATTCTCATCTCTCATACACAGCCATGCCCACACCCACACCCACACCCATGTCAGTATTGACAAATCAGAAATTGGCCATTGTTCCATATGACAAAAGTTCAAAAGATATACATTTAAATATCGAATATGAGGTTTTTAAATAAATTAGTTCATTCCACTTCAATGTAATAATAATGAAAGGACAGATCAATGAGAAAATTATCGAATGAATAGAAAAAAAAAAGATGTACGTATTATGGAAAATCATTATCATCTAAGAGTCGTAAAATGAAATTTAGTTAATTACTAACTAATGAAAGATATTGTTCACAAACAAGATCAAAATCATCTTTGACTATATGTTTCAAATCTAGGAGATATTCTCTAAAGTATATAACGAGAATGAAAGAATTAAATCAATTATTAAATTGATAATATGTACGAAAAAGTTCTTGAAAAATAAAGTATTCGAAATTGAAAATAGAAAAAATTCTTAACAAATTAGATTAAATTATATAGCAGGTTTTCAATTGTATTTGTACAAACATTATTATTACATATAGAAAAGAGACTCGATGA